TCCACAGCTACCACATGCCAACGCATGCAACTTACAACTTGTGGACTCCAACTCCCAGAATTCCTCAGCCAGCGCATGCCAGTGCATGCAACTTTACGACTTGTGGACTTCAACTCCCAGAATTCCTCAACCCCCACATGCCAGCACATGCTACTTTAGGACTTGTGGGACTACAACTCCCAGAATTCCTCAGCCACCACATGCCAGCACATGCAACTTTACGATTTGTGGACTTCAACTCCCAGAATTCCTCGGCCAACGCATACAACTTTACGACTTGTGGACTACAACTCCCAGAATTCCTCAGCCAGCACATACAACTTTACGACTTATGGACTTCAACTCCCAGAATTCCTCGGCCAGCGCATGCAACTTTACGACTTGTGGACTACAACTCCCAGAATTCCTCAGCCAGCGCATACAACTTTACGACTTATGGACTTCAACTCCCAGAATTCCTCGGCCAGCGCTGCCAAGGTTGGAGACCCCTGTCCTAAGGACCCCTTTTCTGACCCACTGGCCTCCATCTTCCGCAGGCCTCTTTAAGAAACCCACCGCAGTCATGCCCTTACCTGCTTCAAACCCTCCGGCAAGGAGCTGAATGGCCGCAGGAAGTCCTCGACTTATGACAGTTCCCTTACTGACCATGCAAAGTTACAACGTCACTGGATAAAAAGGGATTTCTTCCTCTACCCTCCCCACCCCCCGACCCTCCGGCCCTCTTCAAGCTCTCCCAGAGCTGGGCCTACTTATGTGCCACCCACCCACACACACACACACCCTTAAGAGGCTCCCTTTCCTCTTCCATTGAGAGCCTGCGGGTTAGAAAGTGGGGAGGGGGCTTCTGCCAAGCTCCCACCCTCCCCTCAGCACGCTTGGCTGGGTCAATTCAATTCCAAAGTGCAGACAACAAAAGCCGGAGTTCAAATGGGGTCTTTTCTGGGCCTCCAGGGCCGTGGCCCCCACCTGCATGCAAATGCGGGGGCTGGGGGGGGGTTCCCAGCCAGGTGCCATCTGTCAGATACAAGCCCCTTGCGTTCCCTCCCCCCAACCATCCTGCCTTCCACCCACAAGAAAGGGAGCATGCACACAAAAGCCCCCTGAACCCTCCGCGCTTCTCAAAAAAATAAATAAAAAAAATCGAAGTCACCGGGAGAAGCCCGATTCGTTTTAACGGCCACGTGCTTCACTTAACACCACGCAGGGAAATCGCTTAAACCACCAGGGCAAACGCGTGTGGCAAAACAAACGAACAAACGAAGGCCCCCCTTTTTACGAGAGACACGCCTCGCCTAAAAAGAATTTGTCTCG